TAGGTGGAGTGTGCGAAGGCATGAGAAAAGTAGCTCTTAGAAGCAAGGTTTGAAGGGTTAAGGAAATATTGTATTACGAGGAATTAATCTTGTTGATTATAGGTCAAACGGGCAAATTAGAAAACCCAAGTGGTCCCTCATGACCACAATGCGTGAAAGGCAGAGGTCGGGCACACTTTGTAACTTCCTCCTATTGCTATCTGTTGGTTGGTCTGAGCAAGTCAAATTCGGACCTAGGTGCAAAATGTTATTTGAATATTCTAGTCCCTAATAGCTCTCCTCGCTTGATGTGGAGTATCTCGTATAGGTGGAGTTAGCTGGTCCTGGGCAACCGCCACTAGGGAACTGAAAGAGAACTAGCCGGAGTTGAACAGTACAGTATATCTTTAGCGTAAAGTTCATGCGGCACGCCTCCGACCGCACGATACTCATGGCAGCCGGTGACGCCCAAGTCCGCATCTTCGACATCGGATACACACCTGCGAGCTTGAACTCTACGGCAACAAATCAAATTGGCTAGTACCCCCCCCCCCCCCCCTGTATCCACGTCGTCTTTCGAGCGGGCCTCTTTCTTCGGGGGAAGCACTGCTGCCCGCTATGACATTGTCCCGTTGAAGCGGCATCCGTACGCGGAGAACCAGCACAGAGTCTACAACTGCCATACCTCGCGGGTTAAGAGGATCGTTACTGAAGACAATCCGTATACATTTCTGACCTGCTCCGAGGACGGGACTGTAAGGCAGTGGGATCTTAGGCAGCCAAGTGGGTTCGAAGCCAGGCTAACTGGGAGCAGGAGTAGTGGTGCTAGGGGGTACTATGGCACGACTGTGATTGACGACAAGGACGAAGATGGGCAGACTGGTCGCGGGGCCCCTCCACTTATAAGCTACGGCAAATGGGGGATTAAGCTTCATGCCGTTTCTTGTTCGACCAGTCAGCCGCTCTACATTGCACTGGGCGGTCAGAATTTGCATTGCTTCTTGCACGATAGGAGAATGACTGGGAGGGATTTGGCTCTCCTGAGAGGGGTTCTGGGAGGGGTTCCAGCTCTAGATCTAGCTCCACCGCTAGCGCTACGGCTATGGATACGGCAACCAAGTGTGTTAAGAGGTTTGCTCCCAGGCCTAGCAGCGGTGGGGGATGGGTGAATCCGCAAATTACGTCTTGCAAGATCTCGGATGTGCACCCGGATAACATACTTGTCTCTTGGCGTGGAGATGGAGTATACATGCTCAGCATCAACCAGAGTCCTGAAGAACCCAGTAGTGGCAGCGATGAGCAGAGGAAGGAACCCGGGGACCTGGACAAGAGTAGGAACAGAGACGCATCCGATCCTAGGCCTAGCAGCAGCAGCAGTCTTGGCGGAGGAGACAGCACCGATGAATCAATCCCTGAGGGGCTCCAAGAGCCAGACCACGATTGTTCATCATTTTCCTCCTTCCTCCTCTTTTCCCACGCAGGAGAAGAAGCTGAAGCTGAAGCTGCAGACCAGCGCCAGAACCGAGACCAGACCCCCAGTACGCCCTCCCAGGAGCAGCACCCCCTAACATTAGTTGGCCTAGTCACAACCCTTAAACAAAAACTTGCAAGCCTACACACTGCTTCTTCCTCCCCGGAAGCAGAACAGGAGCTGGCAAACAACCTCTTGGCCACAGCAACAGACACCTACCGCCGCATCCGTCGTAAGATCTACAAGCAGGAGCAGCGTAACCAGCGTTCGCAGGCGGCCAGGCCGGCCTGCAGATAGCCTGCAGATGCATAGTCCTGCCCGGCCAGGTCAAAGTGAAACTAACCTAGGCTTTGTAGGCCAGGCTTTGGTGAAGCCTATAGGCTACACGGATGCCTGGGGGCACCTGTAGGCTTTTGGCATATGCCACCTGACCAGTATATATTGCGTCTGTGCACCACTGATATCTGAAGATGCGGCCGATACCTGAAGATGCCCGCAGATATCTGAAGATGCCCGCAGATATCTGAAGATGCCCACAGATATCTGAAAGCCTGCAGATATCTACAGTCCGGCCAGCCAGGCCCGGTCAGATAGGCCAGTAAAGCCGGACTATGGCCTGCAGTCCGGTCCGGCCGGTCACCAAAGAAGCCCAGGCCGGCCGTCCTGGACCTCAAGCCTGGCCGGACTGGCCGCTTGCGAACACTGAGCGTAACTTTGAATACCTTACCCCCACCGCCATCGTGGAGAGCGAGGCCGAGTATCGTCGCCTGGATGATCGCCGGCAGAGTGCATGTCAGCGCCGCGAGGCCCAGGATTGGGTGCGTGCTGTCGGGCACTATGCCAATGAAGTGCTGCTGGGGCAGGTTGATGATGACGAGAAAGACTTTGAGGAATTAGAGTATACGCCTGAAGTCAGATATCGGATTTTCAATTTAGTTTGTGGGATTGCGGCCGGGGGAAGGGAGGGGGGGGTGGAGGTTGTGAGGGGGGAGCAAAGACCCCGACTTGGGTTTCGGTTTGGCGATGACGGTAATAGGGATAGGGATGATGAAGGAATGTTGAGGGAATACTTCACAGGCCTCCTGATAAACGCAAGTCCTCATCCGGTCCGGGACAACTCGGGAAATGTCTTGTTTAATTCCGAAAGCGAAAGCGACCTAATAACCTCCCTCCGGACGCTAATGTACTCCTCCTCTCCCCCTCGAACTCAATTCCTAAAAATAGGCTTCCTCCCAACCCTCCTCCTAGCTATCTGCCCTCGAATCTACACCCCCTCCACCGCCACCCCCTCCCTTTATTCACCCCCCTCCACCAAACCCACCGTCAACAGAACCCGCACACCCTCACCCCCACCTCCCACCACTTAGCCCTCTACCTTGGCCACGCCAACATCCTAACCATGAAGGATGTGGCCTTCTACGGGCAGCAAGACGAATATGTCGTTTCAGGCTCTGACGACGGCAATGCCTTCGTTTGGGAGGCGCGTAGCGCTAAAGTTGTCAATATACTCGCTGGGAGCAGCAACGAAATTTTTAATGTTGTCACGGGGCATCCTCACATGCCGATTCTTGCGGCCGCGGGAACTGGGCACGAGGTGTACATTTTTGGGGTAAAGGGTGGGAGCGCTGGGGGGTAGCGCTGGAGATTGTACGGTATGATACCGCAAAATCTGAATAAACCCCAAATGGGTCTAAAATAGTCCAATCCAAAATTGGCAAGAAAAGCGAGGTTGCCACCCTGTGTCCCTGGTGACTAGTGATCGGTCATGAGGCTGCAAATATTAAATTTTGACCTCAACCTCTCACCACGGTAACATCACAACTTGTCTGGTAAATTGCCCGTATCAGCCCTTGACCTCAACCACCCCACCACTATAACATCAGCGCTGGTACCAGCTCTGTTAGAGTGAGTGCGGGCTCGGGCTTGACCGTAGTCGGTACAACTACATATCCGTCTCCATCCTCAATAACCATCCAAGACATCATCCCCGGCCCACCACCCCCCTTTCAGGTCTCTGGCTTTGATGGAACCACCTGCATACCGGCGACAGCCTTCCCAGTAGAACTAATGCTTTAGAAATCTTTCCCGTGAAAGACTGTAATGTTCGAGGACATGCCCGAGAGACAGCCTTGCGTCCGGGAGGCATAGTTATAGTGGGTACTCTGAGCAGGAGGACCGGTGATGGTAATATGTATGTGTAGTGTACAAACCCGCGACCTGTGATGGTGTAAGAGGATAAAGGTAGAATAAAGGATATGAGGGACAATACTCGGGAGAGGGAGGAGACAGAGAACACCCTGTACAAGTATGCGTTGTCACCCGTTGTTGGGGTCACCATTCTCTCTAGGAAAGCCTAGGGTAATCGAGGCATTGGATTAGCACAGCGAACGACCTTAGGATGGGCATCGAGGTTAAGCCATCGCATTTGAAGGTATTGATTTCACATTTTTAATGCTTATGGGTTTGTTATTTGTTAAGAGGGGTAGAAGGTTCTGGAGCTTATTGAGCCCATGTAGTATGAAGCAAGCCCAGGGGGGGGGGAAGAAAATGTACTACACATGGAGATAAGAGGAAAGATGATCGGTTGAACAAAGTGGGGTAAGTTACAGAGAAGATATGGTAGAAGAAACACAAGGAGATAGTAGAAAGAGGGGTAAAGAGTGGGGTTGCTACAATCATGTTTGGAGGCCAGGATGAGTTCTCCTTTTTTCGACAGTGTATATAAAGACATAACGTTACAGAGAAGGAGGAGAGCGTGGCAGACACAATTACAGAATACAGAATACGAAATACCGATACCAGCAAGAACGAGAAGAAGAAGTTTCTAGTGTACAGCAAGTGCAGACTATCCTATGAATTACAATAGCGGGAACCTTCGCACGGTTATTGGTTGGGAATATGATCACAGGGATTGAGAAATCATATTTAGTCTACATGTATCGTGGATGGGCCGGGGCTGTATTATATCATGACAAATTTTTATATTCGGTTAACCGACTTTGCCACCGCTAATTCAAGCGACACACTAGCGTGCGTTAGTGCTAATACGACTTTCATGAGATGAAACGGAAGTACAACACTGTGCACTTGAGAGACATGGCTGTGCGAGGATTTCTAGCTCCTCTTGCCTCGGGAAATTTTAAAGGGATACAATCGATGGATGAAGAAGTGCTTATACCGGTACCTAGTCTCTAATTCGGTGTCGCTGTCAAAAAATGGTTCTTTTTCCGAGTTCCTGGGCACATCAACCCCCCACTTTTTCACTCCTGACCCTGTAAATTATATGAATTTGGTGAAGGGATGATGCTGAAGCAATTAACGCGTCACAGCAGTCACGTGACTCTTATCGCGCGTGGTGATGGGCCACCACCCACGTTGTCCTAGCCGCGTCTTCCCATCCACATGAATCCTGCCAGATCGAACACCCATCACACAAACCCCGGCCGTGATACCTTCCTGTCACGAACCATTCCTTCACTTGACACCGGGCCTGTCATACATAGGCGAGAATACAACTATCTATAAGAAAGAGGTGGGGGGGAAATCAAATATGGGAATCCAAGCCCTCCCCGCCACCGCCATCCGAGCCCTCGGCTCGGGCCAGGTACTGACGGACCCGGCCTCACTGATAAAGGAACTCCTCGACAACTCGCTCGACGCCTCCGCCACCACCATTTCCATCGAAGTCTCCCAGAACACCCTCGACCTCCTCCAGGTCAAGGACAACGGCCATGGCATCCCCTTGGAGGATCGCGAGTTCATGGCGGTGCGGCACTGCACGAGCAAGATTAGGGGCTATGAAGACATCCAGGACTGCCGCAGTCTCGGGTTCCGGGGGGAGGCGCTGGCTAGTGCTGCGGAATTGGCGGGCGGGTTGGTCGTCACTACTATGGTTGAGGGGGAGAGGGTTGCTATGGCTTGCACTTGTGATCGGCTGGGCAGGGTTACCGCCAAGAAACCGGTTGGTGCTATGAAGGGGACTACTGTGCGGGTTACAGACTTTTTCAAGTTTTTGCCCGTGAGACGGGAGGTACTGCTGTCCTTTGTTGCTGCCATTGGTCGGAGGGTTTGGGGAAATAGCACTAAGCTAATGTAGTGTGGTGGGGTAGAACGCGATGAAGGCTGCGCAAAAGAACCTATCCAAGCTGAGGACTTTGCTGCAGAGGTATTACCTTTCGCATCCCACTTGCCGGTTCTCGTTGAGGATACTAGCGCCGCCGCAGAAAGGCAAGGCGGCGGGTGGGCAGAGTGAGGATATGGTTTATGCGCCGAGCAAGTCAGTTTCGGAGGCGGTTATGAAAGCTGTTGGAAAGGAGGTTGTCGCTGCTTGTCAATGGATAAACACCAGGTCTGGGGAAACTGCGGGTGGGGGTTTGGAGGAACAGGAAATCGCCATAGAAGCTTTTTTGCCGAACCCCGATTCAGATCCGGCAATAATATGCAGGAAACCGCAATGTACGAATTTTGTTTGTGTGGACAGTCGGCCGGTATCGTGCGCTCGGGGCACTCTGAAGCAAATATTGTCTTTGTATAAATCTTATCTCAAGTCCGCATCTTCATCTGATTCTGCCATATCCGATCCTTTCCTCTATCTCAACTTGCGTTGTCCTCCAGGAACCTACGATCCGAATATTGAGCCGGCCAAGGATGATGTCATGTTTTTTCATGCAGAGCGGGTTACCGAAGCTGTAGAGGTGATTTTGAAGGGCTTATACGGAGAGCTAAAGACTAAGGGCAGCGCCGGTGGATCTGGGGGGAAGGCGGGGAAGAGCGCAGAGATGATGACGGGGGGATTCGAGCTTTTGCTTGCTAGGAAGAGAGACCCGAAGCCTGGAGCAGCCAAACCCCCAATGGCTCCTGAAATAGATGAGGATGAGGAGGAAATGGCGGCTCAGCAAATGGATGTGATGATGGAACGTGATGAGGATCCCCCTGCGCCGGGATTCACACCGGCAAACCTAGTCAAAGCGCCACTTGTGCAGACACGGGAGGAGAGCCCTCATAAGACTCACAAAAGGGACGGCAGCGTGCGACCTCCAATGTTTTCTATAACGGATGCGCCCTCTCCTGAATCAGTGCGCCCTCGAGAGCCCAATCGAGAATCTGTCCCCCTAGCTGTGTCACCCATTCGGACGGTACAAACGCCCAGAAGGAGGCCGACAAACTGGGGCTTTAATATGTCTTCAGGTCATGATGAAGACGAGGATGATCTGGTTTTGGAAGAAGCAGAAGACCAGATCCGAAGCGAGCTTGCTGAAGAACGGGCCACCGAGGAAGCTGCTAGAGACATTGCCATCTCGAACCCCTGGACCGCTGCGAAAATGAACTCTCCTGCGTCAGGATCTAGCCTGCCCTTCTCATCAGTGCCAGGCATTAGCGTGACTAAACGCACCTTTCGTCCCCCAACCATCATTGATCCCCCACGTAACCTTAGATCATCCCCTCAATTTGGTTCTCCACCGTCTCTCCATTACTCTATGACTCCTGTATCGTCCTCACGCCGGATGATCACAACGTTTCCGACCCCTAGTGCTTCCTCGCCGTTGTCTCCCCAAGGAAACACAGAAATCATGCAGAGTTGGCTTAGGAAGGCGCCGCGACAGAGTCCGCAAAGTGCCGCACCCTCAGTAGCGCAAAGGGAGCCGGTACACGAAGAGATAGATGACGAAGATGGGGGGCTGCGGACAGGGGGGTATCAAAAGCCACCTTTGAAGGGCGTGCCGGAGATTGTTCTGGGCCAACACCCCAAACGGCGGAGATTAAACAACGAACGGGGGCTCAGTTATGATGAGCCACCACCGGGATACGATGACGATCCAGACCTTGTGCGGACCCAGCCTTCAAAGTCGCCGCACAAGAATAGGTTTCTGAAGGCGGCGGCTGCGTTATCGAGTCAAGTCGACCAGGAGCCTGATCCTGAGCCCGTAGAACCGGAACCGCGACGCAGGAAACACCCTCCTATCCTTCAACAGCCCAAAAAATCCAAACTAACCTCCCTCGACATCCAACCACCAAAAGCTAACCAAACAACCAACTTAATAAAACTCACTACCTGCCCCATCACCCAACTCCGTGCCAACTTTTCCCACCTCCGAACTTCGGACGCATACAGCCGCCTCGTCTCCACTGGGGGTAATGACAACGGTAACAAACGGTCAACCCCCCCGAAGGCCATGCAAGGCAACGTCGGCATATTCTTTGAAATCGACAACGTGCCAGATGACCCGTACAACAGCCAGGTCCAGCAGCGCGAGAAGTCGATCGCGTTCGACGTGAAGCGCTGGATAGATAGGCTGGCCGAGGAGCGGGGCGTCAAGACGGAGCCGTTCTGGCTCGAGTTCGATCATGAGTACGGGCCGGAGGGGGAGAGGTCTATCTGGGTGTTTAGGGAGGGGGATAGTGATGGGGAGGATATGGAGGATGGGGATGAGGAGTATTAGCGGGGGAAGCGTGTCGGTGGGGGTGATTGCTAAATGGCTCATTTTTCTTGGTTTTGTTTTGTGGGTTGGTGTTTGATAAGTTTGTACTGTAGGAAAATATAGCAATAATTGAGCTGGGTGGTATACGATGATTTTCCAGGCCTTTGAGTATCAGTGGTGAGGAAAGGTGGATTTGGATGAGGGCTCATCGATTACAGGTATGTGATTGGGAATTCTGGGGGGGCGTACGCATCGGTAAGTGTGGCAGGAGGGTATTATACTATGACATGATATCCGTAACATGCGGTAGTGCCGTTCAGGAATTTTACTACTACAGATACTTGAAGAAGTGGGTGGAGTTCATTCTGCTAGGTCATTTGACTGTCACGTCAGGATTGTTCACTTGTTAAACCTCCTTTTTCATCCCGCTTCTGTCAGGATTCCCTAATTCTGGGTTCTGACAAACAGAATCCCTCCCGCTATCGTGTGGTGCCTCAAGGGTCAGTTTTTGTTTTGTATGATATTATACTATCACGAGAATTACGCCCTAATTTTAAATTTCGAGTGATACACTGTGATCACAGTACCCTTAATGCCCTGATACCTCTTTGGTCGTGTCTGATGCTGAGGGTAAATCGCTTTGGGGTGCCCTTGTTCCTGCCACTCCCAATATGATCCCTCCAGAACAGGGTCCCCCAAAACTGGCATATAAGAGCGCAAGACCCACCCATCCTTTCCTTCCTTCCTCCACCACATCCAATGCAAACACTCCTCACAACCGCCACAACCACCACCACCACCGCTGTCAGACTTTCCTATCTCATGGCTATTATCCCTTCCACGCTGCTCTGCTAGAAACGATTTACCTACTCGCGACGAGGTATGTACGTAAATAGTTGCTTTTGGACCGTCCGGGGTCCCCGTGTGCGTTACGGTTGTCCTTGCTTAGACACCTTGCTAACGCCATGCGGGCCAATACTCTTTCTCTAGGATGGATCACTCTGGGACCAATACCGGATATCTTGACTGGTGGTGAGGGTGGTAGAGATGCTCGAATAAGGTATGTACGTAAATAGTTGCTCTTTGGATCGTCCGGGATCCCCGTATGCGTTACGGTTGTCCTTGCTTAGACACCTT